TAATGCTCAGCAACCCATGAATTGCCTAATTCGACTTATATTATAAGTGGACATCCAACAGATTAATATCAATTGGAATATAAATAGATACCTATCAACGTAAAAGTATAGGAATATATTTAGTTATAGTCATACCCTCATCCTATATCTAAAACTATTCCTATCTATACCTAGATAAGGATTAGTGTCATAGGAATTGAGCACTCATATTATAAGTCGAATTAGGCAGCTGATTCATCTGAATTTGTTCGGCTTTAAATTGTCTCAGTTGAGAATAACATTATTTTTTTAAGTAAACTGGTTTTGATGAAAATGATTTTGATTTGAACTAAATTTTAATTGGGCCTATACTACAAGTACATATACTTCACACTTGGGCTGCAACTATGATTTAAATAAGTGAAATTAGAAGTTGGTTTGAATATAAAAAGACCAATTTTATGTAGAAAAGTGAGAAGACGAAGATTTAAAACGTACATCTTCCGTAATAAATCGAACGGTTTGATATATTATCGGTTTAACACGTGTGAATGAACAGAGATGCACAAGTACAAATACAAATTGTACATTGAATTTTACCACCAACTGTTTTGATCCTACAGTACTGTATTCAGTATATATATTCTGATGTAACGATCGTGTAGTGTCATGTACTGACCCTACTTTGGGTCTTCAATTTTCTCTACACTATAATGTCAAAGCATTTTAGTGTTGAGGATCACTACTACAACCATCATCATTTCCATCCTCTGGCTCGATAAAATGACAGTAGAAGTCAACCGATTCTAGATTTTCCAGATTCAAAGTAGGGCCAGCACATGACAGTAGATAACAATACAAATCAGTAAAGCTACGCTGTCTTAGTTGGCACGTTGAATGTAGGGAGTATAGGTTACAAGAAATGCTTCTTTTCACCGAATAAACCAGAGTACAAAACGCATTGGTATTTGCGCAGCCCTCATATGAATTTAAGCATTTTCTATTATCATTTAGGTCCATATCGATATTTCATTAAAAGTGAGTTACTTTCAAAGTAATACATCGGATATTTATTGTTACCATTTAGTTCGTATTGATGTGTAATAAAGGTGAATTGTGTTTGAAATATCACATTAAACATTTCTTATCGCCGTCTAGGTTCTAGGTTGATATCGATATCTAATTAAGAGTAAGTCATATTTCAAATACAAAATGAAATATTTTCTACTATTATTTAGGTTCCTAGCCATATTGGATTAAAGGTGAGTCATATTTTAGATCTTAGATTAAATATTTCGTATTGTCATTTAGGTCGAGATCGAAATCATACGAAAGGTAAGCTATATTTTATATAGAAAGCGAAATATTTTCTTCTTTTATATTTAGAGTGGTCTTTATCGCAGACAAATCTTAAGTAGGATATTAGAAATAAAAACAGAACCATTTTCTCTTTATATCTAAGTTGATTTGTACACGTAATCAAATACTTTTCTTTTGTAGACGATGTGTTTTCGCATTTTGCTTTTCTGAACGTGCATATCTGATAATCGGGGTTCCTGATGGTAGTCGTAAAGCTTCTTGAAAAATTTGAGGAAAATGGGTGTTACTTTTTGAAACGTGTACGATGCGAAAAACTAACATGATGTTAAAGTATTGCGTTTTGATGGGTATTTTTTATGTCCATTTTCGGATGGTGGTTGTGGTTGCCGATCGGGTATTGCAAACGCTCATGAGTTATTAGCGATGAAATGATATAAGTTCCTTAGCGTTTGTTTTAATATAAATTACATATAGATAGTCGCCGCATATATCAGCTACCTAGAAATTATGTCGTGTTTTGATCGCTTTTTTTACGTGTTCTAATGTGATCATCGGGAACCACGATTGACATCCAGACACGGTCGAAAAAAGCTACAGTTTACACGCGTTTTTTCAAAATCTTGGCTGCTTGGGTATAAAGCAAGAACAATTGCAGAAATCTATTGACTCGGATGAGAGTGTGGGTGAAAATTTTCATAATTGGAATCGATGAAGTTCATCGGGTTTGATCAGGACGCAGTGCGACTGGAGTCGTAAGTGGCTCATAGACCGAACGGTTGGAGTTTTTTCGTCGATTTTCTGAGTTTTTAGGGAGCAATAAGGTGTATTTTTGGAAATTCTTTTTTTGGAAACGATAGAGCTCATCGAGTTCTACTTGGACCCGGTCTGAACAGAGTTGGAACGTACTCTCATACGAATCGGCTCCAGAAAAAAGTCGAAGCCGAAGCTGAGATATCCAACGTGAATCGAGTAAAACATATCTATTGAATGTTGACTATTCTCTCTTTTTTTTCCTTTTCTTTTTTTGATGAGAGTTACTATGGTGTCGTAACTATTTTTTCATCGACAATTTGAGGAAATGTTGATGAGAAAGTGGTGAGATTCAAGCAAACATTTTATTATATTCTACGTACTTGAAAAACTATACGTTAGTCAGTTAACGACGAGAGAAGCCAAAGAGGTTGGAGATGGAAAAAACGAAGTCGATAGAACTCGATATTATTGGCTATACTTCTAATAGTCGAATCAATGAACTCAAGATAAATGTTAACAGTGAATTAAATCTATTAAGAACAAAATTAGTCAGTGTACAGGAGCAACCAGCAGCAGAACATAATGATATCGCGCTAGAAGTTTGTTTTCCAAAACTTCATCAGTCACTCGGGGCTAATGGGTTTGTCCTGTCAGACGTTTCTTTATACGTCTTACCAACGGTTAATACAATAACTTGATAATAAGAAAACAGCATTTAATACGTAGTCAAGTTCGGAGCAAGATGATGAGATGAAATGCTTATGCAAACAACTTTTTTAGCATTTGATGGAACGAATATTGCGAAAATTTAATGCTGCTTGTTCGTATGCTTCGCAACAGAAACCTGAACCGGCGTTGATTAAGAGTATCGAGGAAGAATTGAGTAAACGACAAGAGTTGTTCAACCTGTTGTCTTGGGCAAATTCTACCGGGTTGCTTGAAAATCGTTTTCTTAAATACGAATTCGAACTCGTGAAGCGCAGAAAGCAATTGGGGGAAACACTACCGAAGCGTCGAAATTTGGGCGGTCTAATTACATAGTATTCAACAGACTTAAAAAATTATTTTCAAACGATGTGTTAAATTACATGACGAAATGCCTATATATGACCTGCATCTAAATATGAAGGAGCTATCTTCTCAGCATGCAGTGGCCAATCTGACAATTCCATTGAACATGCCACAGTTGAATGTAAAACGAGTTAATCCATACAGTGAGGGTGTGACCGATTACCAAGAAAACTGGAAGTTTTTTAACTTTTCATGATAATAAGATCACGAAGTGACTAGGAATCAGTGTAAAAGACTCACGGAGAATTAATACAAAATATTTGAAAGAGTAGAATGGGTAAGGTTGCGAGTAGGGATGCAACGATGACGGTGACCACCGGCTCACCGTCCTACGACATGGACCGGTTTTCTTACCGATCTATAGAAATTGGTGTTAAATGAGCCAGATAATAGTATGGCACCGCTCAACAGAATCATTTTCCGGTGTGCCTACCGACATTTCGGCCAGTCGATATGAGGATTCAATGGTAAAGGATATAGTGAAGACGGTGACTACATGAATAACCTACAATGTTGAGCGGTGTCACAGTATTATGTGATTCACGTAACGCCAATTTCTACAGATCGGTAAGAAAACGGGCCCACACCATAGCTTTTCAAGCTCTCATCGCCCTATCTGAAAATCAGCGACCGGTGGGCACGGTGGGCGGTGCACCGCCAACGTTGCATCCCTAGTTGCGAGTGAGCGTATCTATTTATTGAAAGCGATAAATGAAATATGAATGCACAAATAAGCAAATATAAGTGCTCATTAAATTATCAAATTTAATCTACCGTCATTATATCTGGTGCAATAACCATTTGTCTTCTTCTGTTATATATTCGAAAGAAAATTCCAATGATAAATGGAATTAAAAGTCTTAATAATATTGTTAAACATCCATATAAATTAAGAATAGTTGTAAGTATATGCAATACAACAAAATGTTGTATAAACGAATAAGTACATTGTGTTGAACGACATTTTTTTGAATAGTTCAAATACGAATAATTTTGATTCCAGTCGTCAACAAATAATCGATCAATCATATGTTGAACAGTTTCATTAATACCATATTTAGTTTTTGATTGTAAGACTTGAATTGTTAGATTTGTCAANCGAAGAATGGATATCGAAAAAGAGTGCGTCTCGATAGCTCAGTGGTCTGAGTGCTGGCCCGGAAAGTCAGTCTCTGGTTGTTGGGTTCGATTCCCGCTCGAGATGTTTATTTTTCGGCGGTCTTGTTTTCGACAGAAAAGAATGAAAAGAAAGAAAATAATAATAATAACAGCCTTGTGATCTATACAAGTATAAGAAAGCAAAAAGTCTTCTAATTATTTCATTTTCCCGTTTTTGTAACAAAATAGTCAAGTTATACATGATTTTAGTCCAGACTTAATGTCATTGAGTTTAAAAATAAAACTATCTAGGTTTATATTGACATTATCTAAGACTTCACTCATTAGATGAGTCCTTTTTTAGCAAGACAAGAAACAAGCGTCATGGCAGCTAGTACTCACATCCTCACACCTTCAATAAAAACGATAGTTTAATTTTATTCTGATTGATTAGTTTTCTTTTTTTCTAATAAAATTAATTGAGAAAATATATTTACATCGAATTTTATTCAATCAATCTTGAGGGTGAGGATGAGGGCGACGTATTTATTTATTGATCTCATCTACACTCACCCCTCATTCACATACACATCTATCCTGTAATCTTGTCTTCAAATTTTTTTGTGCCTATGTCAGTGAATTTTATTCATAAAATCATCATAGAAAACAACACACGTCCTGGAATGCATATGAAAAGATTGAAATAAGGAGTATGAAATATCGAGATTAGAATGACGAGAAAAATGAAGAAATCTGTCTTTTGTTCTTGGTCTTTAACTTTATTTGGTTGCACATTGCTGATAGAGTGACCAAATTGATGAGTCAAAATAGGGTCCATTCATGTAGTCAGCAATACTGTTAATGATAAAGCTGTTCAATGATGTAATAGTACCAACACCCGTTGTTGTAACAAAGCTTTGAAACCAAGGTCCACCAGAGCAACCACCAGTCATATCGCATGGAATGGTTTGACTATTAAAGCCATTGCCATATTTGGAAGCTGCAGCTTTACCGGAACAGTATTGCATGACTTGGCCGTATTGCAAATTGTATGGATAACCAAATGAATAGGTCAGTGCATTGCGTGGATAGTTATAACCGAGACCTTCAGAACCTTGTAAAGCTTGAATATGTTGACCTTTAAAATTTATGTAAAGATTTACAAAGTAAATATCATAGTTGTAGTTTTGATTAACTGTCCAGGAACTATATGCTGTCATATCTCGAGCCGCCCATTTTCCATATGGCTGAGCTCCATTGTTGTAGCCCGGAATAAAAATAAAGTTCTGATTGATACGCTATTTTTTGCATCGTGATCGTAGCAATAGTGACCAGCTGTAATAATAGTACCTGAACACATTTCATAACTGTTCGCAGTTAAGGGTTGCGCTAATTCAAAAGTTAAGGAAAATTTTTTTTTCTTTTTTTTCTTACATATTGCGATAGATCTTGACGCGCTGATCACGAATATCACCTTGTTTTTGAAAAAAGACCTTTCTTTCATAATGAGAATCGACAAATACGAGGGGCGAAGGCTTTTTTCGAAAGGTGTATATACTTCAGTGAAATATCTATATCCTGTTCCGTACAAGATATAGTTCTGAATTTTTTTTTTCTAACTTCTGCAAACCCACCTGACTCTATCCATGTAGTTTCAATGATTAAAAAATTTCAAATGACTGAGAAAAACATTTTTTCCCAAAAAAGGCGACTATTTTCGTAAAAAGCTATCTAGTTTTTTGTTTTAAAAGCTAGACCCTTGAATCTGAGTAGCTGCCTAATTCGACTTATAATATAAGTGACCAATTCCTAGCACACTTAGGAATAGAAATAGATTTAGTTTTACTTATATATACACACCCTCACCCACGCTTAATTCTCTCGTTATTATCTGGATGTGTTGATGTAACGAATCATGTATTGTTGTATCTTGCTGCGTATTTTATATCATTTTTACCATCAATACTCACCTTTATTATATTTGTTATTCCATCGACGTTGTATCGAAACACTTTTAAAGCACCGTTCCTTCGAATTTTGAGACGACAACGGTCATCACCGAACCATTCTTGAAGATGATTTTCTGTTATTTGCTTTATTGGGCGCTTTACAATACTTCTCAATAAATTGGTTCTCCCTACTGAAAGGAGGACCCAGGTCAAACAATCCCATACTTGGATTCCATCGGATCCAATATAAGATTTTATCAGATCATACAGCAATTCGACGGATCCGATGAAATCCTGGTGACGGAATCGCATTGGATGCTGACGGTCTCGGATCCGATGGGATCCCGCATCGGATTTGTTGACCTGGGAAACAAAGAACCATTTGTTAAAGATGTGAGGGTGTGGGTCTATGGGCGCGCTAGTCTTCCTTCTACCATATCGCACCGTCATCGACTCCAACACCCTCACCCACACCCTTTGGTGAATCCTTACTCGACAACTCAAAAACTTTTCATTCTTAATTTGTAATTAGCTAATTGGAATATCGAAAATCTAACACAGGATTCGAGATCCTCGATCCCGATTACCCTTCGGTCAACCCGTACTATAAATATTTAGGGGTGGACCATTTCCGTTAATTTGAAATTAACGTAAACAGTAACCCGTTAAACGTTAATATTAACGTTAACGGTTGATATTAACGTTAATATTAACAATTAACGGGTTATACTTAAC